AGAAACATGCCTGAATATCCTAGTTGTTCATTCCCTGATTTTGAAAGTTAAACCAATTTGATGATATAGAACTGTTTCTTTTTCTTTGTTTAAACTAGCTGAAACAAAGGAGGCAGTGATTCTGGGGAAGGCATTCCTCAAAATTATGCGCAACCAATCAGAGCTGGAAACAATGAGTAGCTAGTAACCTTAGGTGAGGAGAACCTATCAGCACTCTGGCTCCACCTTCAAAGGGTAGGACCTCCAGCCGAGCAAAACCAGAGTGCACCACAAATTTCAGCAGTTCAGTTCAGAGTCCTGCGTTCGCAACAAGAGGATAGCTAAATTTCTAAGTTTGTGCCGGCCTTGGTCAGAAAGACAGGTCAGAAGTATTAGGACGCTAAATTTTCAGATCTGAAACCTTTGTTTGTTTTGTAATTTGCCTGTTTGTCTACACACCTTAAGTCTAAACCACCCTCAGAGAAGGAAGGTGGATGTTTCTTGTCTGGCCAGGGAGAATATATCCATAACTTTCGAGTCTGCTAAAGAGAGGTAGTTAGTTAAATTAGTATCAACAGCCTCAGAACCCTGATTGCAACTTGAACCTCGCCAGCAGAGTGGGAGCAGTTCTGACGCCACGGAGACCCAGCATCGCACCCAGAGCCACGCACTGGTCTGTGAACAGATCGACCCTCGAAAGGCTGCCCAAGCTCCACCGTCAGAAGGCCACGAGACGCGTCCGCCCAATCACTGACGGAAGGGCGTTTGCCCGCACGGAGATGCAGCATCCACGGCCAGCGAGGAGAGGAACCACCGCCTGAGCCCCAGCCTTTGATCGAGTCTGTCCTGAGACGACCCCTCCTGAAGTCAGCCCCCGACTCCAACGTAAGCTGGTTCCATCAATTCCCGTACATGCTTAGGTTAATTCTCTAGAGGCTCTCCCAAGCGACTTCCCAAACCACACTGCCTCATACCGTTTAGCCGTGAATCACTCTACTCGAGCTATTTTGTCTTTTTGACTTTCATTACTATCACTTTGTTTTGTTTTGTTTTCTGTTTTTATTTTCTATTGTTTATGATTGAATGTAGTCCAAAGTAGTTTGATATTTAGCCAATAAATTCCCTTTTCTGAAGCATCCTTGGTGCGAGCGTTTCTCTCTCTTGCCCTGGTCTGTAGACTTAAATAAATAAATCCGGGTTAACTCACACCCTCACATAAGGTTCTAGCAATAATAACATTAAAAATTGCAAAACCTGTTACACTCCTGTATGATACAGTACAGCACAAGACAAATTGATATGAGAAATGAGAATGAGATGAGAAAGCTTGAAAAAACATTCCGTTTGGTTACAGATTAAAGCTGGTTATGTTACATTTTAGTGTGGGCCTATAATATTAAATATAGGACATTTCATACCACACCGACGTGAAATGAATTGCTTCAGTAAGTTCTTATATGACCTCTCTAGTGATAGTCGCTTGTCATGGAGCCCCAACATGACTTTAGTGGTACGTTTACTATGAGTGGTACTTCGCTGGGGCAGGGATCTACAGTGAGTGAGCCACACCGAGAGAGTCTCCTATTCACTCATATTCTTTGTGTTTTAGAGCCTCAGATCAGCTGGATGGCTCCCTCTTGTGGTTGTTGACAGCTATATACTTTATATTCATACAGATTTCACTTTCTGTGTATGTGTGTTCATGTATGATTAAATCATGACTAGATATGGTGATGGTGGTGACATTTCACTTTAAACCTCATTTCTTCTCATTATTTTAATGTATTTTGGCCTGAAATCCACTTGCATTAGCAAATTATGATTGAGTGAACTGACTTGTGTCTGTTTCCTAGCATCAGAACCATAATATCTACATCTCGCATCCAGACAGTGAACGAATTACCCGTGTTATACTGTACAGTGCAAGTTAAACCTGCCAGTTACAATAAGATGTCAGCTGACATGTTAATCAATCTTAACTACTTTTCAGCTCACTCAATGATATGAGAAACTTTGGAAAATTCCTTTTGTTTACTGATTAAAGCTGGTTAATAGTACATTTTAGTGTGGGCCTATAGCACTATTTAACATAGTAATACATGTGTTTGTCAAAAAAACCCAATATAGACTTAAACTTACCTCTGTACTGAGGATCTGCTGTATGTGAGTGAGAGGTTTTGTCCACTTTCTCAGCATTTTTAATGTGTAAATTCTCTGCAGTTACTGTACCAGAGCTCCTTTTGTTTCTCCTGGTCTTTCGTGTTTCTATGTTGTCCTCATTGGCATAAATGTCTTCATATGAGTGTCCACTGCTGTCTGAATTTCTTCTGTTGTCTGCAGTAAATCCTGAATTTGCATAAATATCCTCCATCATTTCCATTCTGCTCTGACTGATGTTAACTTTATTAACTCTGATAACTCTAAAAGTGACTCTGTATGTGCTGCAGGTCAGCTTAATGCAGAGTATCTGTGCTCAACTGTGATAGTAAATCCTTCTCTAAACTAAGAATGTTGTGTTAGATAGTGACGCTGGCCACAGATGTGAGTCTGTGATGATGTTTGAGGCTTGTGAGTCACGTGACACATGTGCAGAAACCTCTTGAAGCAGAAGTTTTTCTTTAGTCTGTCAACTTAATTCAGCCTCTTGGTAACCTAAAGTCCTTAAGCATGAGAGCTCCATAAACCTGAACATAAAAGCCACAATAACATTTCAAAAACATCTTTGAAATCTAACAGTATTAATAGTTTGTAGTGTTTGGTCCAAATGACTCACAAAAATGTGTTTTTCTAGCTCGTTCCTTTGGAACGATGGAAGGAGCATTTCCATCTAGCGACATAACCTGTTAGCCTATTGGCTGCTTTATTTGAAGTGCGTGACTTTCCCAGTAAACAGACGCCATGTTGAGTGTTATGAGCTTTCCCATTCATGTTCCAACCAGTGAACTGATTAGTGTTGGATCAGCTTTTATAGTATTCAAAAAAAAGAGAAAAAACCCCCTTCATACAGTTTGAACGTCATCACTCTGTGTAGATCAAACAGTGACCATTTTTTTCCATACTAGAATACAGATACACTCAGTGACCACAAATTCCAAAATTCTTTAATTCATTTCTCACTCAGTCTCAGCCTTTAACATAACTGTGTATTACAAAATTACAGAACTGTAACACTGAACTCTAGAACATAACATGAATATGAACTGCTTATCAATTTGCTAAATTACAAATACTATATTGGACAAAATCAAAGCTGAGCAACTATGTAGTCATATATTTTGTTATTTGTTAGTTATTATCCACTTAGAGCTCTGAAAACTGAAACTGAATACAGTGTCCACCAATTTTGGGTCCCTCAGTTGAACTGTGCCTTTTTTTCTTCAGTGAAAAAAAATATTTTCATGTAAATGTGCATGATGTGTTTTTATTGTGTCCAAATGCTATTTTTTATTCTGGCAGTTGTACATGGTTTTATCATTGCACAGCTGTCTTTAGGGTGGCGTAAACTGTTTTCACAACAGTTGTTCTAACTCCTGCTTGCTCAATAGCCACAACATTTCACACACAGACACCCCTACCAAGTCCTTGCTACTTGTTATATATATACATACATATACATACATACATATATATAGTATGTATAATGTGAATGTATGTATATTCATTCAAATAATAATTAATCACATATTACGACATCAATATTTATATTTATCCCAAACCCTGACCCCTAAATTTACACGTGAAAATAATACTACTTACATTTTTTAAAGATCTTTTTGATTTCTTTTAAAATGGTTAGAACATTTAGATATATGGTGAGTTTAATCTTTAAATAGTAATTTAAAAAATTTAAAAAAAGCTGTTCCCTGTTTTCATGTCACTACTGTAACACTACTCAATACCAAGAACTCAAACAACAAAGCTGTGTTCTTGGGAAGTTACCATGTGATAATGAACTCACAAGAGTTTGAGATGTGCTGTGTACCTGCTATTGTGCAACTCCAGCTGATTTCACCAGCGTTAAGATACCATTTAGTATCAGTTCGGACTTTTACACAATCCAGAATCCAGAATGACAAAAAATAGTATAACTGTAGGGTAAGGGACAGTCTGAGTAAAAGTAGGAGAAATTGAGAGAGAAAAGGTGCTACAGTTGTCATTGCTGAGCTGAGGAGCTGATCCAGAGGAGAGCCAGACTGAGGAGAAAAAGATGAAGAGACTTTAAATAATTTAATAACTATGATAATTAATGTTTTAACTGTAGCAGTTGCACATGGTTTAATCTTGGGACTTTGTGGAGAGGTACAAATGGTTTTCACAGTAGTTCTTCTAACCCCCCATTGCTCAACATCCAACATTTCAAAATATTTCACACACAGAGACAACAGTGTTCTTATTACTTGTTAACTGCTTGTTACTTGTTATTCTTCAGTGTACATATGTACGTACTTAAGTATCCATTCATACAATAATGATGTATTCCAGTCTTCGATATTTACAAGGATTATGTTATGATCTATTTAAACCCAAGGCATTAATAGAGATAGTAATAAGGTACATATATACAAAATCAACATTTATAGGGTAAAAACACAAAAACACTTTTGCAAAGTACAAATAACAAAACACAATCTGATATGACCGCTATGACCACTAGAATAAAGCAGAAGTTCATCAGCTACAACTGTGACAGCGGCACTAATTTTAGGGGACATTCAGATCGTTTTCCTTGGTAAATCCTGAAGCAATGCATCCTGATTCAATAGCCTGAAAATCAGTGTGGAACATTAACTAATAAAACTACTAAACAACTACTAAAACACATCTTTTCTGAAATTAAGTATTTTTTGTGTTTTAATGAAAATATTATGGCCCAGTGTTTGCTTCTTGAGGTCAAGCACGGCCCCAGCTGTCACCAGTAAGTCCAGAGCATGCACAAATCCTGTATAGGTGGGAGCCCACGCACTCAACTCAGGCCCCTCACCATGACTTGGAGCTGCTTCCTCTCTCTCATCTCGACTCACCTGGTTGTAGGACCAACAAGGGCAGTGAACCTTTACTCTCTATGCTGCTTTTGACCCAAAGTCTGTGGCAGCAGCTGATCTTCATGGCTGACTTCTGTTTCCCTGCCAGCTTAGATTCTTGGCATTGACTGGCATGATGTCCCCTCTTCCTGCACCACCAGCACAACAATCGCTCCGCCTCCACTAGCTTGGGGCCACTTGGCAGGTTGTTTCCACCTCAAGCTCCTCCGCCGTTCCGGGAGGGGGCAGGCATAGTACTCGGTATCCCCTTCCTCCAGGTTATGTCTTCTTCACCACCCGCCTTTGAGTTTGCTGTTGCGCCGCTCGACTCAAGCTCGGTGGACGCATGCCACCACCTGACACCAATGTAGCATAGGTGCAGAAGAAGACCTGGCAGGGCACCAAAAGACAGAGTAGACACGAACCACTAGTTACACTACGAGAGAACATGAAACACAACCAAGTTGTAACACATTTAAGCATTACAACAGTGAAATATCGTCATGGCCCACCAGGGGCCGAGACTGTCACCCCTGCCTTAGAAGGTTATGAGATGCTGAACAACTGTAACTCATGATCATATTAATGTATTCTCTTGATTGTCTACTTAGAACTCTGCAAACTGGAACTGGTTAACCTTTTTTCACAGTAGGTATAAAATACAATTTCCACCTATTTTGGGTTCCTCAGTTGAACTCTGCCTTTTTTTCTTCAATGATAAAATATATTTTCATGGAAATGTGTATGATTTACAAAAAAGAGAAGTGAAGTGCCTTTTCATCTTCAGAGGTGAGTCAGTGTAAACACAATAAACGTTTTTTTTTTTATTGTGGCAGTTGCACATGGTTTCATGTCAGTACGGCTGTCTTTGTGAAGAGATATAAATTGTTTTGACATCAGTTGGTCTCAGCAACCCCTCCTTGCTCAATAGCCACAAGGTTTCATGACATTTCACACACAGACAACCAACAGTGTTCCTATTACTTGTTAACTGCTCATTTCTTGTTATTCTAAAGTGTGTATACATATAACTCATATTAGTAATAAGTAATAAGCTACATATATACAAAGTCATCATTTATAGGGTACTTTCTACTGGGAGGTTGCAGTCCTAAGCCCTAACCCCTAAATTTGTACAAATGGAAGTAGTAATATTTAAATAATACTTATGTTTTTAAAAGATCTTTTGTATTTCTTTTAAAGCGAAGTTAGAACTTTTACATTTATCATTATTTAATTTTTAAAACTTTATTAAAAATGCTGGGTGTTTTTCAACAACAAAAATGCGAAAAACTGAGTTGTGTTCTAGGGAAGAATGTGCTTGACAACTTACCATGCAATAACGAATTCACAAGAAAGAGATGGAGGATGGAAGCTGCACATACAGGAGTTTGAAATGTACTGCGAAATTGTTATTGCGCAACTCCAATCTGAGTCCAGCAGATTTCACCAGTGTTAAGATGTCATTTAGTAGCACAGAGTTCAGACTATTACACACAGAATCCAGAAAAAACTTTTGTACAGCAAAAATGACAAAACAGAATCTGATATGAGTGCTTTGTTGTGTTTTTCTTTGCTAGAATAAAGCCAAAGTTCATCAGCTGCAACTGTGAATGTAATAAATATATTAGCATGTAACCATCTGCTTAAGTTATACAGAAAATGTAATTAGGGGAAGGTCTGCCTACAACTTATTGTATGTTTTTGAATTGAAATAGCCACGAAATAGAGAAGGGGTCAGGTTTTATGCAAGTTGGTTCAACCCCATTTCCAAAAAAGTTGGGACGCTGTGCAAAATGTAAATAAAAACAAAATGCAATGATGTGCAAATCATTTAAACCCTATATTTCATTAAAAATACTACAAAGACAACAAATCAAATGCTGAAACTGAGAAATGTTGTGGATTTTTGAAAAATATATGCCTATTTTGAATTTGATGCCAACAACACGTTACAAAAAAGTTGGGACAGGGGCAACAAAAGGCTGGTAAAGTTGCGTAATGCTAAAAAAAACACCTGGTGGTTGAGTCTTTCATAAGTAAAGGTGAGGAGGGGTTCACTACTCTGTGAAAGACTGCACGATCAAATAGTGCAACAATTCAAGAATAACGCTTCTCAATATAAAATTTCAAAGAATTTTTACTTTTCATAATCTTTGGTATATAATGTCATTAAAGGATTCAGAGAATCTGGAGAAATCTCTGTATGCAAGGGACGAGACCAAAAACCAGTATTTTCTGGCCGTGATCTTTGGGCCCTCATGCGGCACAGCATTAAAAACAGACATGATTCTGTAGTGGAAATCACTGCATGGGCTCAGGAACACTTCTGAAAAACACTGTCTGTGAACACAGTTTGTCGCTGCGTCTATAAATGCCTGTTAAAACTCGACCATGCAAAGAATAAAACATATATAAACAGGATCCAGAAATACCGCCACCTTCTCTGGGCCCAAGCTCATTTAAAATGGACTGAGGGGAAGTGGAAAAATGACCTGTGGTCCAACAAATCAGCATTGGAAATTCTTTTTAGAAGTCATGGACACTGTGTCCTCTGGGCTAAAGACCACTCAGCTTGTTATCAGTGCACAGTTCAAAAGCCAGTATTCATGATGGTATAGGGGGTGCATTAGTGTAGATGGCATGGGTGATGTGCACATCTGTGAAGGCACCATTAATGCTGAACGATGTATACATGTTTTGGCAACATATGCTGCCATCCAGACAATGTCTTTTTCAGGGAAGGCCTTGATTATTTCAGCAAGACAATGCCAAACCACATTCTGCATGTATTACAGCAGCATTGCTTTGTATTAAGAGTGTAATGATGCATGATGAGTCAATGTCATCTTGGTTTGACTTTTTATTCAAGTTGCAAACAGACACCGTTAGCAGAGGCACTAACTTAGCTCATCACTCTAGCTTCACTCTCCGTTTGTTTACTTCCTGATATCATCTGGCCTATCCAACAAGAATGCACCTAATGCGTATGCCTGACAGAAAGCTAGTTTTCACTCAAACCTTAACATTACATGACAGTCAGTTTCTGAGATTCACAGGAGTAGCACTTCAGAATGTGTGAAATAATATTTGTGATAATCACAAGTAAAACAAAGCTCCTAACTATTACTACTACTACTACTACTACTACTACTACTATTAATATTAGTAGTATAATAATTTTGTAGGTAGCCTGACCAGAGGAGGATGGGTCCCCCCTTGTGAGCCTTGGTTCCTCCCAAGGTTTCTTCCCCAGCTCTGAGGGACTTTTTCCTTGCCACTGTCACCACTGGCTTGCTCACCTGGAGGATTTACATTTCATGTTAAAACTTTGTCCTTAATGGATTTTCTGTGAAGCTGCTTTGTGACAACATCAGTTGTAAAAAGCGCTATACAAATAAATTTGACTTGACTTGAACACACTTAATAAATCTATATTACAGTAACAGTTAGATGCTTTCAAAACTGATTCCATTCATTATATAATTATCAAACTTTCACAAAGCAAATTCACATCAACTGGACTGAGTCAACCAATTGTACAGTGCTATAACCTTTCACTACTGAGAGTGATGAACATAACTCCATGAAATGTCCATGTAAAGTACTACTGAAAAGCCAAAGACCCCATTTCTTTTATGTAATTTCCAGTAAAATAAAAGATGTCAATTTTTCATTGTCATAAAAAAGCAGCAAACATATATTTAACACCAAAGAGAACAACGCTAAGTAGAATTTATCAGTATTTAATATTTCTCTAGCATTGGGTATTACTGTAATATGGTTACCACAGCATTTAAAAATGATGATGGACTTTTAGAATTATGACAGTGTCAACTGTTACTTTCTGTCAGTCCAACAGTCTCTTGACTTTGCTCTCCTAGACATGAGTTTTATGATGTACACTTGTGTCAGCAGAGCACCAGTTAGTTGGAATCTAACTTGTACTGTGGTGTGTGGCACATTTGGCCTGCTAGCTAAGCTACTGTTAGTATAGCTAACATGCTACATATCCAGACACCACAGAATAGATAAAACTTTGGCTTTTCTGTGCTTCCAACAGCAGGTGCTCTGTTTCACTTCCTCAGACTTGAATATAAACCTGTGTTGGTGCTTTAGTTGGAACTGAACTGAACCTGTTTTGTGGTGAGCAGAGCTGTTGTGCTAGCTAAGCTAATGCTAATCAGGTCTTCTAGTGAGCAGCACAGTTTAACATTTAGTAATTCTTAGATGGATGGTTTGACATTTATTTAATGGTGGATTGGAAATTCTGTTCATAGTGACTGTGAATTGAACCTTTTTCTTATTTCTGAGTTTGAAATAATGCAGGATGAGTAAATTAAACTCTCTGCAGCTCCAAAGTGACAGAAATATTTTTATGCCCTTTATGATTCTTTCACGCTTGTCCTTAAAGGCCATTTTGACTAGAAATTAAATAAATGAAAGGGTGTTTTCTGACTTCTGCACAGTACTGTATGGACACATAAATCACACAATGATTTAAATGTGGTAATAATATGTACTGTTTGCTTACACATTTCGAAGTGACTTAGTTGCTTCAAAAAGGACTTGACCATCTTAAACCTTAGAGATGATCTGCTCACCCAAATTAGAGAACTTCTGAAGACAGTCTCCCTGATTCTGAAGCTGACGAACCACAGAGCCGTAACTGGTCTGTAACTGGTCTCTCTCCGCAGTCAGTTCGGTGTAACTGGTCTGTAACTGGTCTCTCTCTGCAGTCAGGTTGGTGTAACTGGTCTGTAACTGGTCTCTCTTTATAGTCAGGTTGGCGTCTCTGGTCTGTAACTGGTCTCTCTGTGCAGTGAACTTGACCCACAGCACTGTGATGCCAGTCAGCAGGAGAACACACAGCAGCCCCAGACACACTGCAGTCAGTCTGTAGCATCCTGAAAACAGTCACAGTGAGTAGAAACAATGTACACACATAATATCTTGTGGCTTTGTATAAATATGAATATAATAAACTTCTGTTTTCATAAGCATAAACAAAGATATGATTTTAATAATGAAAAAGGAAAAGGGTATTTCATATTTATATCTGTGTATGTCTAAAAAGCATGGGAA